GTCGTCGTGGCTGGGCCCCCGCCAACTTGATTGAATTGCGAGAAGGTCTCGAGCGAGAGCGCCGTTCGTGAGTTCGGAGGCCTCTTTGGCCAGGGTGTCTCGAAGTAAATTGTAAGGAAATGTCGAGCGGGAACCGTTGTTGTCGTAGCTGGGCCTCCAAGGAGCTTCGTTTTCAGAGAAATGTAACCGGCGTCGAGGCGAGAGCGCCCGGAACTGTTTCCGGAGATTCGCAATACTTATTTTCTAGAAATGAATGTTCAACAACAACAAGACCAACAGCAACAACAACATTAACAACAACGCAACAAGCATAACTTTCACGGATCCCCACTTCAGCCACGCACCCAGGGACACTGGATGACCGTTCGCCCCCCTTTACTCTCATCAGTAATTATAATGAAACAAGTAAAAACACTAATAATGCTGATCATCATTCTATCGAAACGAATAAAATGTATACATAATAGTAAGACAATAACAGTAGGGGTACGATTAATAGTGATCACAGGCATAGTACTAGCCATCATAGTTAGACGAACAATCATGATGATACTAATACGCAGAATAATGATAATAGAAGGAGGAGGATCGAGGAGCCGCCCTCGGTACTCTTCATCCTCGTTTTCCTTCTCGTCCTCTCAGGGGCAACGCTCGGGGTGGATAGGCTTAAGGGGTGGATGCATCGGCCCCCGATCGCCCAGTGATCGCAGATAGGGGCCTGGTAGCACTGCTCCGCCTGGGACCTTGCGGTTCAGCCATCGGGGGCAAATCGCCGATCCAGCAGCCTCCCCCTCGTCCTCGTCCTTGTCCTTGCCCTTGTCGTTGTCCTTGTTCTCCTCGTCCCCCTCATCCTTGTCCTTGTCCTTGTCCCCCTCATGGGGGGCTCTTTGCGCTGGTGTCCTCCTCCCCCTCGCCCTCCTCCTCCTCCTCCCCCTCGTCCTCGTCCTTGTCCTTGTCCTTGTCCTTGTCCCCCTCATGGAGGGCTCTTTGCGCTGGTGACCTCCTTCCCCTCGCCCTCGTCCTCGTCCTCGTCCTCCTCCTCGACCTCTGGGGAAACCGCGCCGTGAAACAGGCAGGAGGTCGGCTATCCCGGCGGGGGGGGTGGCGCGCCCGTGGGAGCGCGGGGGCGCCGCGGGGGGCGCCGTCGGGGTGGGGTCGAGGAGTCGTCGTTCTGGTCCTCCCACCCCTGCCCTCCCCCCCCCTCCCCTCCCTCCATCCTCGCCCTCCCAAGGCGAATCAGATGCGCGAGCCAAAAACCTCGCCCTCCCTCCCCTGCCCTCCCCTCCCTCCCCCCCCTCCCTCCTTCCCCTCGCTCCCCCTCCTTCTCCCTGCCCGCCGTCCTCCCGCAACCCTCCAGATCGATGCTCGAGAGCAGGGTCGGGGTTGGGGCCGAGGATGGGCCCTCGAGCACCAGCAGGTCGTGCATCGAGGGCAGGGTCGAAGATGGCTCCTCGAGCCCCCGCAGATCGAGGATCGAAGGCAGGATCGGCGCAGGATCGTTAGGCCAGCGGGATTTTGGTGCACCGAATCCGTGACATGCATCTGCTTCGTTGCTGGTGCGTCGCTGCGTGAACTCGGCAGCCGGCATCCAGGCTGGAGACATCGTGTGGTGGACGTTGGCTGGTGCTTCGCGAGTTCCCTTACCTTCCCGTTTCCCCCTCTCCCCCCCAAAAAAGGATCGGCGCGGGATCGAGGACGTATCCTCGAATCCCTCCAGATCGAGGATCGAGGATCCGGGGCTGGGTCGTGGCGTGGTCGAGGGACGACCTTCTCGCCAAGATCGAGGATCGATGACCGAGGGTGGGGTCGAGGACGGCTCATTACCCCCCCCCCCCAGATCGAGGATCGTTTATCGAGGGTGAGAGAGGCGGCAGGGTCGTGGATCGATCCTCGAAGACCCCCCCAGGCAGCGGGTCCATGATCGGGGCAGGAGCGGGATGTGTCGAGGACCGACCCACCCGCCCAGATCGAGGCTCGATGATCGAGGGTGGGGAGGGGATGATGTCGAGGATTGGTTCTCGAACACCCCGAGATCGATGACCGAGGGTGGGTCAGGGGTGGGGTCGGGGATCGATCCTCGATCCCCCTCAGGTCCAGGGGCGAGGATCGGAATGGGATCGGAGTGGGTTCGGGGACGAGGCTCGAGGATCGGGATGGGTTCGAGGGTCGAGGGTGCGATCGTGTCGGGGTCGAGGATCGATCCCAGAACCCCCCGCTAGATCTAGGATCTATGATCGAGGGTGGGATCGTGGTCGGGGTTCGAGGATCGATCCCCTGCCCCACCCATATCGAGGATCGAGGGTGGGGTCAGGGTGGGATCGACGGTTGGGTCCTCGACACCCCCTGATCGATGATCGAGGGTCGAGGGAGGAGGAGGAGGAAGAGGAGGAGGAGGACAATGAACAGGAGGGGGAGGATGAGGAAGAGAAGGATGATGATGATGATGATGCTGATGCTGATGCTGATGCTGATGATGATGATGATGATGATGATGATGATGATGATGATGATGATGATGATGATGATGATGATGATGATGATGATGATGATGATGATGATGATGATGATGATGATGATGATGATGATGATGATGATGATCATGATCATGATCATGAGGAGGAGGAGGAGGAGGAGGAGGAGGAGGCGGAGGGGGAGGAGGAGGAGGAGGAGCAGGAACAGGAGGAGGAGGAATGGTCGAAGATCGATACTCCAACTTCCCTAGATCGAGGATCGAAGGCCGAGGGTGGGATCTGGGTAGGGTCGAGGATCAATTCTCGACCCACCCCACATTCAGAATCGAGGATCGAGGATCGGAGTGACGTGGAGGATCGCTCCTCGACCAAGATCGAGGATCGATCATCCAGGGTGGGATCGGGGTGGAGTCGGGGATCGATCCTCGACCCCCTTCTGATCGAGGATCGAGGGTGGGGTCTGGGTGGGGTTAAGTCTCGATCCTCGACCCGCCAAGGCCGCGGATTTAGGATCGTGGTGGGGTCGGGGATGGATCCTGGATTCCCAGAAGATCGGATTGAGGATCGAGGATCAGTGATCGCGATGGGGCGCAGGATCCATCCGAGGATCCAGGATGGAGGATGTGAGCGGGTTGGGGTCGAGGATGAATGCTCGACCTTCCCAGATCGAGGGTCAAGGATCGAGGGTGAGGTGGGGGTGGGGTCGAGGATCGGTCCTCGAACCCTCCAGGTCGAGGATGGAGGAACGAGGGTCAGGGGTGGTGTTGGGAGGGGGACAAAGAGTGATTCTCGATCCCCCAGATCGAGGGTCGAGGATCGAGGGTAGGGTCGGGGTGGGGCAGAACATCGATCCTCGAACCCTCCAGATGGAGGATCGAGTATCGAGGGTGGGAGGAGGAAAAGGAGGAGGAGGAGGAGGAGGAGACATCTCGGAACGAGCTTGGGATCGAGGTGGGGTCGGGGATCGATCCCGGCCCCCCGAAGATCGAAGATCGGGGGTGAGGTCGGGGTGGGGCCGAGGACCCCCGAGTCCCGAACGAGGTGGTATCGACGATGATCAAGCCGACGGCCGTCGGCGGATCAAGCCGGTGACCGTTGACCGATGGTCTTCGAGGGTCAAGGCGAGGTCGTCGAGCATCCCTGACATCTGCCGATGTGTTTTGTAAGTCCGCAGCCCCCGAGGGTCCGATTGCTTCCCTGATGCGCTTTTGTTGGCCGCAGGGCCGAAGAAGCAGCCCCCGATTTGTTCAGAGATTTTGGATCCTCGATCCCAAATCTCTGAACAAATTGGATCGTCAGAGATTTGGCATCGAGGATCCAGCATCGCAAAGCGTCACGACAACTACATTACTTGGGTCTCAGACCCCTGGACAGCCTGTCGAGATACTCACGCCAACTGGGCGTGAGATGGGCTTCCAAACATGGCTTGGCGAGGTCGGCAATGATAGGGGGTGGATGGCTTTCCAGCCTTGGGGTGCCTTCCAGCGGCTGCGCCTCGCCGAGAGCTTTCCAGGATCGAGGATCCAGGATCAAGGGGACAGCAGGCGCGGTGCGACTTCAGGTCTGCAGCACCACCTGCGAGCTGGGAGCAGGACTGGGTTGGCACGCGGGCTCCGGAGGGCTCCTCCGTGGCATAGGCTCGGGGGCAACGCTCGTGGGGGAAGGGCTTCGAGGTCCGAGGCTCTCGGATGTTTTCGACCGATCTCGGCGGCTTTCCCAAGGGCTCCCACGAGGGCGCGAAGTTATTCGCGCTTCGCGCTTCGCGGTCCTCGTTCCTTCTCCCCTTCCTCCTCGTCCTCCTCTTCTCCCCCTTGGGGGGCGGCGCGAGAGCGCGAAGTTATTCGCGCTTCGCGCTTCGCGCAGCGCGAAGCGCGAACTTAGGAGCCCTTGCTTTCCAGGCTTGAGAGCTGCCCAGGGGTGCCTGGATCGCCCCGAACGGCCACCACAGACCAGACGGCGAGGATCACTGGGGGTTAGGGTCAGGGGGGGATGCGTCGTCCCCCAATCGCCCATCTATTGCCGATAGGGTCCCGATAGCCCACCCCGCCCAGGCGCGTGCAGATTCGCTATCGGGGGCCTATCGCCGATCTATCAGAGATGGATCGCCAATTCCAGATGGATGTTTTCCCCCTCCGGCTGGTCTCCTCCTGACGTTGCCCTTCAGAAGGACCGCCCGTGGTCGTCGTGGTCGTCGTCGTCGTCGTCGTGGTCGTCGTGGTCACTCACCCTGGTCGTCGTCGTCGTCGTGGTCGTCGTCGTCGTCGTGGTCGTTGCCCTGGTTGCACCCTGATCACTCTCGTGACCGTCGTGGTCGTCGTCGTCGTCGTCGTCGTCGTCGCCCACGCCTCCGTCGTCGCCGCTTTCAGCGCTGTCCTCGACGTCGCCTTCGTCGTCGTTGTGTCGTCGTCCTCGCCGCCATCGTCGCCGCCGTCGCGGTTCTCGACGTCGCCTTCGCCATCGTGGTCGTCGTGGTCGTCGTCGTGGTCGTCGTCGTCGTCGTAGTCGTCCGCCGCCCCGGGAATTCGGGAGGGCAGCCCGGACATCCACCTGCTGGACGACGGCTGGACGGTGGCTGGGGGGCTCTGGCTACGGTCAAGACGCTGAAGCAGGGACCGCTTTGGGCTCTGGATGGGCCCTGGTTTACGAGCCATTCCTTAGATTCACTATGATATCCGCGCGCTGCATTTTTTTCGCCACGGGCGTCTTCGCCAGGTGGCGGCCCCCAAGACCATCACATGTCGATCTGACGCGAAAGATGCCGCAGAAAGCTGGGGTCTGGGGCTCCAGGAGCGATTTGTCTCGATGCCGCAGTCTTGTCGCGACGTCGGATCTCAGGAGGAGGAGGACGAGGAGGAGGAGGAGGACGAGGAGGAGGACGAGGAGGAGGAGGAGGAGGAGGACGAGTCGAGGATCGATCCTCCAACTTCCCTAGATCGAGGATCGATCCTCCAACTTCCCTAGATCGAGGATCCCAGGAGGAGGACGAGGAGGAGGAGGAGGAGGAGGAGGAGGAGGGGGAGGAGGAGGAGGAGGAGGAGGAGGAGGAGGAGGAGGGGGCCTAGTCGTGGCCTGGGCGCCCAGTGGCCAGGAGAGAGCCCTTGTCGTCCTCTGCGCAGCGCTCCCTTCGGGCCTCCCGGGTGAGGCTCGAGCGGACGGGGTCGGAGCATCGCGCCGCGTCGCCGGTGCGTCGCAGGTGCGGCTCGATGTGGATCGGGGCAGCGTAAGATTCGCAAAAGTCCGACAAACACGTGTCTGCTTTCATGTCATTTCTCGTCGATCTTCGGCGGGGGATCCAGGCCATTGGCGAGCAGTTATTTCGCGAGTAGTGGAGAGCGCTCGTCTGCAGAAAATAGTCGGGGGACGACTTTTCGAGTTTATTTTTTTCGCCCAAAATCCGCCTGTATGGGGACACGCCCAACCTAAGGGTAAGGGGGAGGGGGAAGGCTTCTCAGGATCGGGGAAGGGTAAGACTCGAGTAGGCCGGAACTCGGGTCTGCAGACGTTTTTCGACGAGCGCGTCCCGGATTCTGACGGTCCAGTTTTTTTTGGATGTTCGCAGCGGGAGGTCGCGTCAAATTACAGACTGAGTCCCGCCACTTTCATTGATTGCCCCGTCGGGCCAATCCGAGTTCCCCGAACCCGAGTCTTACGTCTCCCCGGCAGAAGGAGGCTGCTTCTCGTCAGAAGGCGTGGGCCTCATCTGTAGATATGCAGTCGGACCGAGGCATAAGATCGAGGTCTGTCTGGGGAGGGTGACCTGCCGTTCTTCGTGCTTGTTGGATGGTCTTGTGCATCCTGAGGAGGGTACCCTTGGATGTTCCGTGTGTTTTGGCCAGCGGGGGGGCCTCATGCTCTTGAAGGGAGGTTCTTCTGGCCTAGGACCGACTGTAAGGTCGGCGCCTTCTCAGAAGCAGGGGCGCTTCTAAGAGGCTCAGGAGGGGAAACGAAAACACAGACACGATTAATCGTCGATTCCCCAGAAAATATGGGAACATATGGGAAGTGGGATGGAAGACAAAAGCCCCTAAAAATATCGGAAAATATTGGGAATCTTTCTATTAGTGTGTGTTTATTTGTGTGTCCTGGGGCCCCTTCACTGGTGCGCGCCGCCGCGAGAGGAGGGCGGCTGCCCGCGCGCAGCTGCGCCGATGCATCCAGGCGAGCCCCAGCCCAGGACCAGGACTCGGGGGCACGCTTAAGTCGGGCCTGTCCCCCTACAGGGGATTTTGGACGAAAAATCAAAAGTACCCCCAAAATATTCCAAAGATGCCCAAACATGTTCAAACCATAGTCCCATGACTATTCTTTGACTATTTTTGAATCTCCCCCCTGTGGAGGGACAGGCCCGACTTCGGGCACGCGCGTCCCCGTCCGAGCCGAGGGGGCGCGCGCGCCGATCCCGGGCCCGAGCTTGGCTCCGCCCCCTCGCCTGAAGTCGGGCCTGTCCCTCGGCAGGAGGAATCTTCAAGAATGGTAAAACATAGTCCGGGCACTATTTTTGGATTATGTTTCCCCAACCCCGACCTTCCAGGAGGGCTAAAAAACAGCACGCGACTTAAAAGCCTATCCCAGAGCTATTCAATGTCTTGGTTTTAGGCTGTTTCGTTTAGTTTTTTAAGATTTTGGGCCTCCCGTGCTAAAAATGGAAGGTCAGGGAATCAGAGCTTGCTTCTGTTGGTGTCCTAGCAGATTCATATGTGCAGGTGACCTACGTCGCCGATTTCGGTGGCCCGGGGCCCGGGTGCCCGGGTGCCCGGGGGTGCCCGGAGGTGCCCGGGGGTGCGCGGAGGTGCCCGGGGTTGCCCGGGTGCCCGGGTGCCCGGGTGCTCTATCGCCTTGTAGCCCTTTAGCCCAATAGCCCATGTAGCCCAATATCCCCTACAGCCCTATAGCCCTATAGCCTTATAGTCCTATAGCCCATAAAGCCCTATAGCCCTATAGCCCTATAGCCTTATAGTCCTATAGTCCATAAAGCTCTATAGCCCTATAGCCCTACAGTCCTATAGCCCCATAGCCCAATAGCCCAATAGCCCACATAGTCCTATAGCCCTACAGCCCTATAGCCCTATAGCCCTATAGCCCTATAGCCTTATAGTCCTATAACCCATAAGCCCTATAGCCCTACAGCCCTATAGCCTAGCCCTATAGCCCTAAGAACATGCGGATTCTTTTTTCTCCGGTATCATTGACTTTTTTTCTGTTTGGAAGTATTCTTTTTTTTTCGTCCAAGCTCCGCCTTTAGGAGGACATGCCCGACCTAATCTTGGGCCCGAGTGTGGATCCGACCCCCTCGCGCCCGAATGTCAGCGCCGGCGGGCGCCCGCAGCGCGGTCCGCATGGTCAAGCAAGAAATGGCAGTCGCCAGAGTCGGCGTCGACGCTGCAACTGGGGGCTGGGGTTAAGTCGGGCGTGTCCCCCTACAGGGGGATGTTCGACGAAAAATAAAACGTAACCCCAAAATACCTCGAAATGGTCAAAACATGCTGCACAAATAGTCCCCAGACTATTCTGTTGGATTTTTTTTTGTAAAGGAAATAAAGGGACATATTCTTCGTCGAGAATCCCCCTGTGGGTAGGGGGACAGGCCCGACTTGAAGGCTGGGGGCGTCGCCACGTCGTGGGAGAAGCCCGGGCGTGGCTTCGAGGAGGGCTACAGGGCGGACCCGGCCAGGGGTGGCGCAGGCGTGCGGCCACGCGCAGAGGATCTCGGCGCCGGAGGGTCGTCGGCGTCCCCTTGGGTCGGGCACGTCCTCTCAGAGGCGGATCTTGGGCGAGGAACGGAACGTGCTCACAAAAACGTGCACTCCAAGTAGACCAAGATAGTAAAAAGAGGCGTGCCCAGAGTATTGTTTTTTGGCGAGTTGTGAGTTTTCCTCCTGTAGGGGGACGCTCAGAAGGGAGAAACACACACAGACACAGCGAATCGTCGATTCCCCAGAAAATGTGGAAAGACATGGGAAGGGGGGGGAGGACAAGAACCCAGAAAAGATGGGAAACTGCGGGGAATGCTGTTATTCGTGTCTATTTGTGTGTGTGTGTGTGTGTGTGTGTGTGTGTGTCCCAGGGCTCCTTTAGACACGCCCGACTTAAGCGCCCCCCCATCGGCCGCCTCCGGCCTTCCAGCCTTGCACGCCCGCGCTGGGGCCACCGCCGCGCCCAGCGCGGCGCGAGCCTGCGGTGCACACCTGGGCGGCGCACAGAGGGGGGTACAGGAGGAGGAGGAGGCGGCGGAGGAGGAGGAGGAGGAGGAGGCGGAGGAGGAGGAGGCGGAGCAGGAGGAGGAGGCGGAGGCTGAGGCGGAGGAGGAGGCGGAGGAGGAGGAGGATGAGGAGGAGGAGGAGGAGGAGGAGGAGGAGGAGGAGGAGTGGGGAGGAGGAGGAGGAGGAGGAGAGGAGGCGGAGGCGGAGGCGGAGGCGAGGCGGAGGAGGAGGAGGAGGAGGGGAGGAGGAGTGGAGGAGGAGGAGGAGGAGGAGGAGGACTAGGAGGAGGAGGAGGAAGGAGGAGGAGGAGGAGGAGGAGGAGGAGGAGGAGGAGGAGGAGGTGGAGGAGGCAATTTGACACTCGGAAGGGTCTTGTGTCCTCTCGCGTGTCCTCTCCAGGAGCCCTGACTATAGGGGGAGGGGGAGGAGCAGCGAGGAGGAGGAGGAGGCGGAGGAGGAGGAGGAGGCGGAGGCGGAGGCGGAGGCGGAGGAGAAGGAGGAGGCGGAGGAGGAGGAGGAGGAGGCGGAGGAGGAGGGAGGAGGAGGAGGCGGCGGAGGAGGCGGAGGAGGAGGAGGAGGAGGAGGAGGAGGAGAGGAGGCGGAGGAGCAAATTGACACTCGGAAGGGTTTTGTGTTCTCTCGCGTGTCCTCTCCAGGCAGCCCTTCCTATAGGGGGAGGGGGAGGAGGAGGAGGAGAGGAGGAGGAGGAGGAGGAGGAGGAGGAGGAGGGAGGAGGAGGAGGGAGGAGGAGGAGGAGGCGGAGGCGGAGGAGGAGGCGGAGGCGGAGGCGGAGGCGGAGGAGGAGGAGCAGGAGGAGGAGGAGGAGGAGGCGGAGGAGGAGGAGGAGGAGGCGGAGGAGGAGGAGGAGGAGGAGGAGGCGGAGGAGGTGGAGGAGGAGGCGGAGGAGGCAATTTGACACTCGGAAGGGTCTTGTTTCCTCTCGCGGGTCCTCTCCAGTCAGCCCCGACTGTAGGGGCAGGGGGGACGGCTTTTCAGGAGGAGGCTGCCTCTGAGGAGGCGCGGGCCTGATTCTTAGTTGCCGGGTGGCCCCCCCCCCCACGCTCAGCAACGAACGCAGATTACGGCCGCCTGGCCGAGCCAAGAGGGCATGCACCCCGATTTTGTGTCCCAGGAGTTCTCAGGAGGTCCCCGGAGGTTCGCAGGAGCATCGGGAGGTCTCGGAGGGCTTCCTGCTGCCCTTCGAATTCGGAGGCCCTCCGAAGGCCTCCGAAGGCCCTGCGAAGGCTCTCCGAAGGCCCGAGCCAATGCACAAAGCGTCACGGCAGGAACCATTTAGGTGTGTGTGTGTGTGTGTGTTTTGCGTTGGTACTACTTCAGGTTGCGCTCAGGCAGCCCCCAGGGTAGTCCCGCCTGGCCTCAGCAGGCCCCCACAGGCAGTCCCGGCTGCCCACACCACGCCTCCCGGGTAGTCTGTGGCGGTCTCAGCGCCTCCACTCTTAGGCGCGGAGCGCCCTGAGGGCGCCGCTGGAGGCGGCGCCAGGGTGTTGAGATCGCCCAGGACAATTCGGGGGGCCTGTGGAGTCCAGCTGGTACCATTCGGGTGGTCTGCTGCGGCTCACTGGAACTGCCTGGGGGGGGGGCTGTCTGTGCGCAGCCCGAAGCCTTGCCCTCCTCCCTCCCTCCCTCCCTCCCTCCCTCCCTCCCTCCCTCCCTCCCTCCTCCTCCTCCTCCTCCTCCTCCTCCTCCTCCTCCTCCTCCTCAGTATGGCCAGCGCCGAGGCGAGAGCAGCATCCCGAGGCAGGCACGCTGCGAGCACGCAGACGAATGCCACCGGGCAAGCAGGGAGCGATCTGGGAGGTCGCCCGCCGCACGGAGCCCTCGAGCAGAGGCCAGCGGTGGCACGAGGTCATCGATCCGAGCCAAGGGCCACGAGCGGCGAACGTATCCATATCCGGGCCCTCGCGGCCTGGACTCCCGAGGACGATGCCGCGGATGCGCGGTCGCACGGGTACGTTCTTCGGCGGCGAGCGAGGGGGGGAAGTGAGAAGGGGCGGGCCGTCTAAGAAGGCTCAGAATTCCCCCGGCTTTCTGAGCAGTTTTCCAAGCCTTCCCCGAAGACATAGAGCCTCTTTCAGAAGGCTGGAAAGCTTCTGAGAAGCCCCGCCCCGCCGCCTTTAAGAAGGCCTTCTCCTTCTCACCTCCCCTCCTCGCTCGCCGCCGAGTTCCGCGCAGGGCATCTGCGAACAAAAACGCTGCGTACCCGCGGGGTCGCGGCCCAGGGGCCTGGCCCGCGAGGCCGCGGATACGGATCTGCTTTTCGCCCACGGAAGGGTGCGGTCCATGGCCTCGGCAGGCACCGCGTGGCCGCCTGGGGCGCTCCAACCCGCGGCCCGGTGCGCTGGCGATGCAACGCGTTGGCCCTGGCTCGCCGCCGGCTTTTGGCACTTGTTTCTTTTCGGCCTTCCGGCTGCCCGAGGCAGCCCAAGACCCCTCCAAAGATAGCCTCTCAAGATCGCCTTAAGTAGGGGAACGAAAAGTGGCATAGACATAAAAACTCGGAGGTCCGCGCGGATTTCTCGGATCCGCGCTGGACCCCCCTTGCGGCGCCTCCGGCACCGCCCCTGGCGCGCTGCTCCCAGACCCAGTATAGTTAGCTTCACCGATAGTGCGCAGCAGGTGTCGGCCCTCACTGCCCCGGGTCAGGAACGCAGAAGGGCCAGTGTATCGCAAGACGGTGGCCAGCAGCGACGTTTTGCGTCCGTTGCGGCTTTAGTTGGCCCTCGTAGGTGGAGGTGACGGCGCTGGCTCCCTGAGCGACATCGAAGCAGCGGTGTGCCCTGCACAGCAGTTCCCAGACGCAATGTGCGCGATTTCATCGGCCTGCCGTCTGGACGACACCGCGGCGTCAGCGTTTCGCCGCGTGATGAGGTGGACATGTTACGTGCGGCTCAAGCGAGTGGGTTTGACGCATTTGCTCTAGTCGATACTGGCAGGTCCATGAGCCGATATGTATCTTCCGCGAGGACCGTCGAGATGGTCACCGCTGTCTGGGCTTGCCCTTCTTGCCCACCGAGGCGCAGAGCGTCTACTGGTTTGCAGCATTGATCACCCACGAGGGCACGTTGGGAACCATATTGTCGGCTTGGCGGAAGTTCCACTTATGGCTGGGTATCGTAGGCCAGCACAGTATTCGCCAGTGCTCGCCGACGTGCGCGCTGGGACAAGGAAGTTGATGGCACTGGCTCCGGCATTCCCGCGCGTGTAGAAAGACAGGCTGCGCGCGCTGTTGCAGGAATGCGTGGACTTCTTCCACGGTGTGTCTTACATGCTGGCAAGCGCGTTCCTGTAGCCATGTGAACTTTTGAAGTAGCTCCGGACAGGGATCCCGCGAGTCGACGAGGACCGCATTGTGCACTACGGTCCGATCCGGTGGACAGGACGGGCGCGGCCGCAATCCACACTGGAAACAACATGCGTCTGCAGGGCAGACCCATTCGTGTGTGTTCACATGTGGGCATCCTGGCTGCTCTCCGGCGGTCTCGGTGACGATTCCGTGGCGTTTCCCGCGAGATACTATGGCACATTCGTCGATGGGCTCCGCGCAGACCTCCAGGCAATCGGCGTGCCGCCTGGGGAAGCTTCCAGCGTTGCTTCCCATTGGACCCGGCACGAGGCCACGATCGATATCCACGGTGTCGACGGCTTCGCCGCGGCGTGCGCCCGCGGAGAATGGAGGAACCGCGCGGTCACCTCCTACGTGCCGACCTCGATGATCGAGTCGCGTGCGCTGTCGGAGGCCTTGTGCGAGGCCTCCGAGAACGAGTCATAGATCCTGTCGAGGGATATCCGATGACGTGTCACTCTGTTTCCTGTTGGTTTCCCATTGGTGCGGCACTCACACGACTGCGCCAGTTGAAAACAGGCCGGGACCAATTGCAAGTGTCTCCCAGACATCCCAGTTGACTACCTCATCACCCAATCCGTCATCAACCATCCTTCGGCTCAAGCTACCGAGGGCTGGTGTTTCCCCGCCCGCGCACCGTCCATCACATAGCGAGGGTAGTGGTGATGCGGTAGTCACGCGACCGCGCCAATGGAAGACAGAGACCGGGATTGGGACGAGTGTGGCAGGGGACCAAGTCTCGCCTTCCCCAGAGGGCGCCCTCCTCCGAGGGCGCCCTGAATAACTATCAGACCCTGTGGCGTCTCCAGGCGAGTATTTCGTTTACCCGCCGAGGGACGGTGGCCACGAGTAGTCCCTCGAGGTCCATGCTTTTCGCCTCGCGCCATTTCGCCTGGTGCTTGGCGATTACTGCTGTCGCCATCCTGCACATGCTGCACGTTCTCCTCCCAGGGTGCCCCCCGAGGGCGCCGTCCTCCAGCCTATATCCATCCTCGCTCCGGCCCCTCCTCCTCCTCCTCCTCCTCCTCCTCCTCCTCCTCCTCCTCCTCCTCCTCCTCCTCGTGGCTCCTCGGGCCCCTTCCCGCTGGCGCCTCCTCCTCCTCCTCCTCCTCTCCCTCCTCCTCCTCCTCCTCCTCCTCCTCCGCGACGCTCGCCGCTGGGCGCGCCGCTCACCTATGCCTCCCTCGTCACTTGGGGAAAGGCCTTTTGAAATCCGAAGGGAACAGCTTGTATCCCCGCCTAGGGGTGGTCCATCGGCCAGTGGGGCTCAGCCTACGCCAGTGGGGATACGGATCGGTTAAAGGATGCTCATCGTCGGCGCCAGTCGTTGCCGGCGACAGCGCCAGACGCCGAGGACGAGGACGACGACGACGACGACGGCGAGGACAACGGGGACGACGACGAGGACGAGGACGAGGAAGACGACGACGACGACGACGACGATGACGAGGACGACGAGGACGGCGAGGACGAGGACGAGGACGACGACGACGACGATGACGCTCACTCTTGCTCCGCCCGCGCGGAACCGGGGCATTGCGCAGCGCGGTCCGCTCGCCCCGCCCGCGCGAGGTGGTGACGAAGGACGGCTCCCGCTCGGCTCAGTTCGAGCACACCCTGCTGGTCACCGAGCGGGGTGTGGAGGCCACGCGGGGCGTGGAGGAACAGGGCGTTGACGAGGACGAGGACGAGGAGGAGGAGGAGGAGGAGGAGGAGGGGGAGGAGGAGGAGGAGGAGGAGGAGGAGGGCGAGGCTCGATGGAGGAGGAGGAGGAGGAGGAGGAGGAGGAGGAGGAGGAGGACTAGGAGGAGGAGGAGGAGGAGGACTAGGAGGAGGAGGAGGAGGAGGAGGGCGAGGAGGGCGAGGAAGACGAGGACATCCATGGCGCTATAGGCTTACAGGGTATTTGAAACTATCTTTGGGGATGAGGCGGTCATTTCGGGCGAAGAGAACTATGCACATGCACCGATCCTGGCAAGGCCCATCCTTGACCCAGGATCGGTGCATATGCCTTCCTGGCCAAGGTAGGAGGGCGTATGCACCGATCCTGGGCTCAGGATGGGCCTGGCCACAAACGGTGTATGTGCATAGTTTTTTTTTTCCTCTATCATTGGCAAAGTACCAGAGACTGGGGCAGCTTGCCGACCTCCGTCCTATCAGAAGCCAGTACTTGTCCGACAACGGGCTGCATCCTGATGCCACCACCGTGGTGCAGCTAGTCCATGGGGGTGATGCCATTGGTCGTGGTGGAACACATCCGCGGGTCTGATGTTTATCCAGACGCCCCAATATGAGGTTCCGGTCATGCCTCGAAAAGCCTTGGGGTTGGCACTCGCCAGCAGGTTCTCGATGGAGAGATCGGAATTCTTCGGTCTTTGGCTTTGGTGGAATTCCTGGCCTCTCAGGGCCACCGCCGCCGTTCCCACTGTGTCACCCGAGCCCTCGTTAGGGGGCCACATGCGAACCCTATCCCTACCCCCCACGATTTCTGAGGGGCAGGGTGGGGTTCACCTCGTTCGAGAGCTCCCGAGTGAAGGGAACCCCACCCTCCCCCTCAGAAACCGTGGGGGCTAGGGGCAGGGTTCGCATGTGGCCCCCTACTCGTGCTCTGCATCGCACGCCGCGCAGGGCACGATGCTCTCTCCGCCCTCTCGAGGCCTCAAGGGGCAGGGCCGCACAGCAGAGTCCAGGCCTCGGAGCGCAGCGCGCGATGGTCGGCCTGGCGCGTGCCCTCCCCTCCCCCCATGGCTCTCGCGCGTCCTACCCTGCACAAGTCCAGGTCGGAGTGGCACATGATATGCAGACACGAGGGTACAGTGCCGTTTTTAAGACATGCTCCGCGTGCGGACCATGTATTCAGCATGCAGGGGTTTAGTATTAAAAGCAACGATGAGTTCATGCATCAATTCATTCGTAAATTAATCATGTATGAAACATCCCATATTTTCAGACATCCAATGTCTTGAAAACTGCCCTGTGTGAAGGATGAAGCAGCGGCGAGCTCGAGCAACAAGGGGGGACGAGCACACGCCCACGCGGAGGAGCAAAGTGGCCGAATGGAGAGGGAAGGGACAATGGGGGAAGGGAACTGGAAGCGGGAGGCAACAGCGGCGAGCTCGAGCAGGCTTGGGGAGGAGGGGACACCAGAAGAGGCCCCAATTCGGCCCCCAGGCGGGCCACAGCGCAACTCCCACGGGCGGCGTGCAGTTGCACATCGTGTTTTGGACCTACTTGGACCCTCTGGAGTTCTCCTCCTCCTCCTCCTCCTCCTCCTCCTCCTACTACTACTCCTCCTACTACTACTAGGTTCCAGAATGGCCCCAGGGGGTCCCAGGAAAGCCCCACGAGGCCATCGAATACGGCGTGCGTTTGCGCACCGTACTCGAGGCCCAGTTTGTTGCCCCTCTGAGGCTCACCGTGGGTCCGCGTGAGACCTTCTGGGGCCCTTTTGGCACCCAGCTCCAGTGCAGCTGCACGCCGCACTTGGGGCCCTTTCTGGGGGTACCCTCGGAGGGGTTCGGCGTGTCAGTCAAACCCGGTCACGCGGCCAGTGCAGTGGGCATTGGTCCAAGCAGCGTTCGCGGTTGAGCGTTGTCCCTCGCTCGCCGCCAAGTGTCTTCTTGAAACAC